CTTCATTACCCATTTAAGCCGTCTCCAGCCATTAATAGGTACTATAGATTTTGTTTTAGATTCTTTATTCCACACTTGTTTATGTAGTGTTTTTTTTATGTTTAAAAACTCTCCTGGTTTATTTATCATCTGTAGCATGGTGAAACTTGTAGTGTGATAACACCTAATATTCATTTAGTATATGCTAGTAGTCAAGACTTAGTCACATAATGTAAAGGCTTGTGGTATTGCACATTGAGTTATCTTAAGACAATCACTGATGTGTAGTTGCTTTTCATTAACACATATCTGCAACCTGGATAAGATTCTAAGCATCTAATACACCAGAGACTTAACATTTTTCAGAGACCTCTTCTGGTCTTTTCATTTCCTACAACCCTAAGTTCCTAGACACTCAATGGCAGGGCTCGATTTTAAGAAAGTTTCCAGTTTGTCCTTCGAGTTTGTAGTTAGGGAATTTACCAATGATTTTGGTCAAGGATAGGAATCAACATTACACATGTAGTGTGGGCATGGATAAGTGTACAGTAGACTGCGATGCTGTTTTCAGTAAGGGTCTGTTCCGGGGTGCTAGTCATCCATACGAAAAAAACTGGGGCTTAAGTTGGGCATCCAAGGAAGTTTTTAGTCATCAACCATTAAAATTGAGTGCCGAATGGGACTTAGTCTGAACTTTATAAACATCTTTCTGATTAGTGACTTACTCTCTGTACCACCTGTTTCTCAGGACATCTTTTAGTGCTTGTATTGGGCGTATCTTCTGATATATATACACACACGATACGTCAAAACAGCTTCAATTACATCATTTTCTTAGAAGGCCTTACAAGTGTACCCATATTGTGATTCCTAACTAAAACTTGGGTTGACATGCATAGTAAAGAGAAGGGAGATTGATCTATGCTCTACATTGCATCAAGAACGTTAAGAATTTGTAGTCACATGGCTGTTGACAGCATGAAAGTAACTCAAGAAGTATTACTACACAATGACCACTTGGAAGAAAAGCAAATAGAATATTTGGTAAAACTTTTCCCTTGTGAACAATATCATAAGGTAGTTGTGTACTTGCTTTAGTCCATTTTTTCTCCTATCTGCTGATGTCTTGGTTCAGAATGTTTTATGAACAACCTCAGATAAATCAATTTACTAAGAAGGGGTCAAAATATTTACCACATGTGAGGTCAGTGAGAAAATGATTATATCGGCTATCATTCAAGCTAAATATGTGAAACTGGCATCATTAAATTCCTAATAGTACATTGTTTTTTGCTCACAACAAAATTAAAGCTAGGGTTAAACATTATTAAGAAACAGGTTTAGTAAGCTTTGATTATTAGAGGTTCAATACAATAATTGTGTATTACATTTGAGATTATAGAAAACTGGCACAGCTTACTTTAAGTTGTTGCATACAATAATTTTGGATTGTTTGTTTACCTTTAGTTGTCTTCTAAACATTTGTTCATTCACAGTCTACCATTCAGAGACCTAATTAACCTTCAGATTGACAACGAATGTATAATTCTTTGGCCATATCCACCATTGCTATAAAAATTATAGCTTTCTTTACTGACCAGTATCAGATATCGTATTGGTAAACTTCTTACCCTCTTCTGTTTTGTAGGTAGGACTAATGCACAGATTGCTTAAACCAAGGCAGCTACATGGGATATGCAGAACATGCTCAGACACAAAAACAAGGCATGAAAAAATGACTTGAGTGTAGACAAACTATTCTACAAAATGGCTACCTGAATACATACATAATGTATATGACAAATATGTTTATGTTATACTGTTTGTGTACATGCCATGGGCTTTTTTATTAATAGGAACAATCATATGCATGAAGTTCTTGACATGTGTATGGTTTAATGCTTTTAATTTGAGTTCATTACAGAAAGTTTATGCTCCTGATTAAAGTGTAAAGCACTGACTAAATGATACAACTTCCACGAGTCTCTGGAGTTCAAGACACTTGTGACATTTTCTATGGCCTACTTTGCTTGGAGGTTGTTAGGTAACAGGAAATGGAGTAGTAGTAGGTGTTTAAAGATGCTCTTCACCAGTATTGGGAAACTTTAGGACAGCTGCTGACATCTTGGGGGCACTGGCATCCTCAATTTGATCACAGAGGAGCAAGAAACATTTCGTACTAGCATCTGCTCAGGCTCACTGGCTGGTCGTGGGTCAGTAACAATAAAACCAGTGGTCAAGAATCATGCCTTTTTTATAGCAAAAGTCCTTAGTTGGCCTCTAATAAGTGAGAAGTAAGGTGACCTAATTGGCCAGTACCAGGTCCCTAATTGGAGAAGATCTTAAGAGACTGTCTCAAAGATGGTATGACATTTATGTAGGCTTATTATATATGCATAAAAAAAAGTGCTTTCCTAGCACCATTGGACTTAATAGCAATAGGTTTTCTTAATGAACCACCTTACATTTCAGAGCTTGCCTGTTGTTTAACAATATGTGATCACACATGAGGATTCCCTCCATTGTCTTGTTGTCATAGCAAAGTGCTAGGTCAAGAGGGTGTGTTACAAGATTGAATAAACCAAGGCTGTGTCATCTAAGTTCAAAAGTTATATTAATGTAGCCCACACAAAATGTGCAATCAATCCATGCTTGTAAAGAAGTATTTGAGTTAAATATAAAGAATATATTCAGTAACAT